TCTAAAAGGTTCTTGATGTTGTCTTCAATGACATAATTGGTACTAGTAGTGTTGTCCTTAACTATGGTTGGTATAGTGGCCCTAGTGTTTTTCTTAAAGGCAACTTTGTAAGGTTGCCCCATGGATCCTTAAAATGTTCACTACAGTATTTTCTCCAGGCCATACTCCTAGTTTTGTTGATATTTGTTTTATATTTTTTGATGGCTTCCATATAATCTTTTTTAAGTCTTTCTTTTAAAGTAGGGTTTTGGGTCCTAATCCACTTCCTTCGGAGTTTTCTTATTTTGCGTTTTCTCGTTTTCTAGCGAGTCATTCCACCAATGGGTCCTTTTAGTGGGCCCGATTTTCGTTATCGAAGAGAGATTTATTGCTGTATTTATTGAGTCAGTTATATGTTTTATATGCCTAAGTTAGGTATCTGAAGACAGACAGGTAGTAACTACAAGCCGAAGCTATACGTAGAGCACCCGACAAATTTTACAAAATTTTTCAGAAAACACAAAAATAGCGTACCTACAGAGAATCCCGTCTGTACTACGATGGAGAAAGTCGTTACAAGTTATCCGAGAAAGTCCAGTTAAGTAGATCCCTCGAAGAGTCCCAAAATACGGTACAAAACACGAGCACACCAGTGGTCCTATCGACGGTGTAACCCTTCAGTAGGAATAGAATGAGCAGGCTGTCTTTCGACTTAGCCCGGAAAGTTAGAAAAGGTGAGGATAAAGGGTGGAAGTTGGGAAGAAGTAGGTTAGAGAGGAAGAGGAAAAAGGCCGGGGAGGGGGTGGAAGAGGCAGAGGGTGAAAGGAAGGGTTTGGGATTTCCTGGACGGACGTAACTTTTATTTTTATTGAAAATAAAGGAACATTTACATATAAACAAGGTGCCAATTTGGCTTGGAAGAGTACAGTACTAAGTATAATTATACAATAAAGACATTTCAAGTGGGGTATTACAAAAAAGTTGGGTAGTATACAGAGGTGCCTTGTGCAAGCGATGTTGATGCTGTAAAGTCTGTCAGATGGTCCTTATTGGCAGGTAGTTGACGAACACGGTGAGTTGTGGTTGCTGGAAGCTGGAAGAGTTTACTGCTGCTGGACAAGTTGCGGAAGATGATAGCTGGATGCTAGAAGGAAATTGCGAACTAGTGATTAGGCTTGCAGACTATCCGACAGAGGTGGAGCCCAATCGATGGGGGGATGGGTGGCCAGCCTAAGATGGACCGGTGGCAGGCAGGGGAGTGCCTGTAGGTGGGCAACCCTGCGAGGAACCACGGAAGATGGTGCAGGAGTTTATAAAATTGTTGAACACGGTGAAGGTTTCTTTTGTCTCACATAGAAAGTCTGCTGGAGGTGGCCATGGCTGGCCGTTGAGGGTGCAGTGCATCCATAGAGGACCACGCTGGAGGTCAAAGTCCGGGCAGTCAAAGACATAGTGGAAAACATCCCCAATACTAGTGTTGTCACAATGGCAGTAAGGAGATGGAAGTTTTTTGAATCTGTGTAGATATGCCGGAAGGTTCCCATGCCCTGTGAGGCATTGGGAGAGCTCAAAGGTGGGGTGAAGATGATGCAGGAGGATGCGTCTGTGGATGGAGGGTAGGAAGCGGTAGGTAGTGCGGCCAGTAGTGGAGACTTCCCATTCCGATTGCCAGGCCTCTTTGCATTTTTTGAGGATGTAAGTGTTGATGTGCGTTATAGGTACACGTCCATAGGTGGGATTTAGCTTCAAACCAGCCGCCTTTTTGGCCAGGGAATCAGCCCGCTCATTTCCTTCGATGTTTTGGTGACCGGGAACCCAACAAAGGGTAACGTTGCTGTAGTTGTTGAGATTGTTGGCAAGATGCCTTGCTTTAATCCCATCTGCCACCGTTTTGTTGTTTCCTCTAATAGTCTGGATTACGTAACGGCTATCTGTTATTAATTTTATACCCCCAGTGTAATGCTTTATGCCCCTGGTAATCAAGGCAAGGGCCCTGACCATTGCCCGAAGCTCTGCCTGATTATTGGAGCAATGACTGTGTAACCTGAAGTATTCCTCATGGAAGACTTTGTTGTTCAGGGTGTCGTACACTACCAGAGCGGCTCCGGTCCCATTATTGTTCCTGGCGCCATCAGTATACACATGCCATCTATACTGAGCCTTGCCTTCTTCGAGGGTTTCTACCTTGATTTGGTTAGTGAGAGCAGGGTGGTGCATTGCCCCAAGGCCAGTTATATAATTATCAATGCCGTGTAGTCTTATGTCACTAAGGAGGCTAAGGCTGTTCGGCGGGAAGTCACCTTGCCGAATTTGGTTCTGCAACTTATCGTCCGTGAGGTTTTCCATATTAGTGTTTAGAATATTCCATTTCCAAACAATGGACTTAATCTTGAGGTGAATGGGGAGCAGGTTGGCCAGGACCAACAGGGCGTCCGTAGGGGCAGTCCGGTAGGCCCTGCAGATGCGCAATGCAAAGCCCCTCTGTACTGATAAAAGCCGACGTTTGTTGTAGACGATGGAGGCCCTCTTGCCCCAGATCTGGGCTGCATACAGCAAAGCTGGTTCCACCGCACCTTTATAAATCAGAGTGCGATTTTTTGGGCTAATGCCCCAGGAGTTTCTGGCAATATGGTGCAGCCAGTTAGCCTGCTGCTTCCCTTTTTGGCAGATCTGTTCAATGTGCTTGCCCCAGCTTAGGGTAGGGTCAAGAGTGACCCCAAGATAATTTAAGTGTGAATTAATTTTTATTCTCTGTCCATTGATGTAGATACTCAGTGGTCGTTGAAGTTGTTTTCTCAATGACCTTCTGGTGCAAATAAGTGCTTCACACTTGGAAAAATTTATGGGGAGTTTATGTTGCTCACTCCAGTTGTATACAGTTTTTAGAAGATCATTGGCCTTTCTTTGGAGGGTGGCACAATTCCGGTGTCTTAACATTATTAGGGTATCATCAGCAAACCCTTGGACTTGTGCATCCTCTCCGGTATGGGTGGAGTAAAGAAGGTCGTCATAGACCAGGTTCCATGGCTCTGGTCCACTTCTGGAGCCTTGGGGGCATCCCCGATTAACCTGTTTAACCAGGTCCAGACCATTTGAGAAAAAGCCAGCTTTTCTATCTGATAAATAACTATTTATTAGATTATAAATTTTGGTCGGGATATTTATAGTCCTTAGCCTCTCTAGAATGTTTGGCCACCAGAGATGGTCAAAAGCTTTTTGAAAATCAATGGCAATTAAAAGGGCATGCTGGTCCTGATCCCAAGCATCCTCAACAAAGTTGACTACCCTTTGGATAGCGGTGATAGTTGAGCATCCCCGACGGAAGCCGTGCTGATTTTCGTGCATTAGATTATTTTTAACCAGGTGCCAGTTGATTCGGTCAATAAGAAGGCCATCCAAGACCTTCCCCATTACTGGTAGAAGGCTGATGGGACGGTAATCTTTGGTCGATGACGGATTATTTGTCTTAGGGATGAAGATGATGTTAGCTGTTTTCCAACATCTAGGGAAATAACCAGTAAGGAGACACCCGTTAAAAAGAACCACAAAGGCAATTGGTACCTCTTTGTAGGCGTGCTTTACCATTTCCGCAGTGATGTTGTCACTCCCTGGCGATTTTTTGTTGGCTAGGGTCGAAATAGCCCTTCCTATCTCATGAAATGAGAAGCACTTGTCGTCAGGGCCACTATAAGGAAGGTCATTTGCCGCACGAATATCTTTGTGGTGTTGCTTATCTTCATCGGGGTTATCATCAGGGAAGTGGAACTCTAAGAGTTTCTTAATATTGTCTTGGATGTTATAATTATTGTTGTTTGAGTCCTCGTTCGTAGTGATGTGGGGAATGGCCGCCTTCCCGTATTTATTAAAGGCAACCTTGAAGGGATCCCCCCACGGGTTGCTGGTGTGCTTACTGCAGAAGTTTCTCCACGCCATTGTTCTGGCTTTGTTGATGTTGTTTTTATATATCCTCAGGGCTTCCTTATACTCTTCCCTGAGTTGTTCGGCCCTCACGCTGTTATGGGCTTTAGTCCATTTCCGTCGTAGCTTTCTGATCCTTCTCTTCTCGTTGTCAAGGGAGTCTGTCCACCAGTGGGTGCGGCAAGGTCTTCTAGTAGTGTCTTTAGAGGCCAGCGTTACCGCTGTTTGCATAGATGTAGTGATGTGGGTGACGTATTTATCTATAGCTTGGATATCAGTAAGGGGAGAGAAGGTGTGGTTTCTCCAGTTTTGAGCAAAGGATTGACGATAATACTCCCAGTTTATTTTGCGTCTGTATTGACTTTCCATGTTGTTACTATGAGGATGGCCTGATTTCTGAATAGCCGAGAGGATATATCTGTGGTCGCTGGCGGATGTTGTCAGTAGTGTTTCACATAAGTTAAATAGGCCACCAATGCTAGTGGGGGCCAGACAAACGTCGGGCCAACCCTTAGCACGGTCTGTAAAGAAGGTTGGGATAGTGGAAGTGTTGGCTGAAAAGAGGTCGTACTCATTCATGAGGTCTTCCACCATCCTACCTCTGGCATCCTCCTCCTCATGATACCAGAGAGGAGACTTTGCATTAATGTCTCCTGCTATAATGAAGTTTTTCCCCCTAAGGGCCCTAGCCACTCTATCCAATTCTTGCAGACAGTCTTCGTCCCCATCGTATGGGGAAAAGTAAACACAGATGACATATTCCAGAGGCTCGTTTAAAAGGGCTACTGTTGTGATACGAGTCGAGCTGAGATCCGGGATCAGGGCAGCCCCGATGCCTCTGTTCCTAACTATTACCCCACATTTTGGCCTATCTTTCCCTTCCTGTTTGAATAATGTTCTCCATTGCCCAAATCGAGTGATCTGGTTCCCAATGGTGTATGGCTCTTGAATTAGGATGAGGTCCACATCTAAGTCGTTAGCAGTTTTAATAACTAGAGAGGAGGCCGCTCGACTTCTTTGCGCATTTATTTGGAGAATGTTGAAGTCTTGACTGGTAGTGAATATGATATGATCAGCAGCAAGAAAAGGGAGGGACAGAAGCATTATTCGTACAGCGTCTGTCTAACTAAAAGACGTTTGTAATTTTTTAGTAGGGGACAGTTTGCAGAGAAAGCGTTGTGATCAGTCCGGTATTTAAAGTCTTCTGGTTGTCTCTTATTGGCTTTATAGCAGTTTATACACTTTGGTTCTTCATGTCGTTTAGTGCAGTCTTTGTAATTGTGTTTCTTAGTGCACTGACTGCATTTTTCACTCTGGTCACAGAATTTGGCAATGTGACCAAAACCAGTGCATTTGAAGCACCTGACGATGGGGATGTAGTCATCAACTATCAGGTGTCCCCACTCATAGCTCAGTTGTTTTAGGGGTATTAGAGTATTCCTTATTGCTGGGACCACTGCCACTATTATGTGACGATGGTCTTTTCTCTTCTTTGAGGGAATGGCGTGAGATATGTCACAGCCTTGCTTGAATGTTTCACTGCTAAATTTCCCTCTTATCTCTTTATTTTGCTCATAAAGTTTATGAAGTAATTCGTCTTTTCCTTTGGTATTGGGAACATTTAACAGGATTAGTTTGGGGTTCCTTTTCTTTGGTTTTGTAATTTTTACCTTGTCGTTCATCTCTGGTAGCTCCTCTATAGCGTTCTTTAAGTTTTCAACGTCTTGCTCTGTTTTTACACGAAACTTTAGACTTCCACTATAAAGAGAGTGGACACTACGTATGCCTATATTCAGACCTGTAGGGTCAATTTTCTCGGTGATAGTTTCCATCACTTCCTCTGGTTGGAGTTTCATCCCGTCAGCTGTTTCAACGAGCTCGATAATTAACTCCTGGAACCCCTTTTCCGAGGCGTTGGAGGACACTAAGTCTGTGATTAAGTTGGTAGTTTGGCTGCCACCAGACCGCCTACCCTGCACGACCTCCGCATAGCTCCGCATTAGGTTTGACCCCACGTTGAACGCAGGGCCAACACCATCCCAAACAGCTTGTTGGCAGCGGCGTGCATGTCCATGGCCGCTTGTCTCACTGCTTTCCTTTTCTTGGTGGTAACCGAACCATGGGACTTGGCCGGGATGGCCGCCATAATCTCTTCCAAACTGGAGTTAATAAGTTCGAGAAGGCTCTTTTCTGGTTCATCCATGATAGGAGCACAAATAATAAGAACAAAGTTAACCCGACAATAGTAAATACACCGAAAAACAAGACACGCGACCACGCAAGCCCGACGCCGAACGGCTACAGACACGCCGAACGGCTAACAACAGTACCACGTGGCGCAGAGCAGTTCTTTGTTAACGGCAAAAACTTTAAGTAAAATTATCTCGAAAACCGTTAAAGATAACTTAACAAAATTTTTACACGACAAAAGGAACAACAAAAGACGTCGGAAAACGACAAAAATAATAACGGATGGCTCGTATAAAGCCCGATAGGCCCGAACAATACACAAAGTGCTGACGCCCGTAACACAAAATCTACCGAACAAAAAATGAAATTGTTTACACTTACAGAGTCTTTTCTTAATGCCCTGTCCAACGGTATCTAAATTTCAGCAATCTACACAAAAATTCTGAAGTTACCGCGAACTGAAAACGGAGCGCAGAACCAAGCATACCAACACATCCGACTTTCCGAGTCGACCCCCCCATGCTTCTCATCTGCCTCATTTTTTGTGTCGTCACCAGAAGTCCTGTAACATATTGCATAGTGAAGCATATGAGCAGCCTCTAATAAAAGATCAACTCTGCTGTAAGACTGTTATTGTTTTGAGGTGTGAGAAAGGACATTGAAAGACCTGTTATTGTATAGTCTTAAACTGTATTAATTTTACAATTATAGTCCTAGCAATTTTATAAAATTTTCAGCTTTGTTTAACCTTCTGACTTTCATAGAACAAATTGATAAAGATTAATAATTAAACATTGACAAAAAAAACCTTTAAAATGCAGCTTTTTAGTAACTAACCAAACGTTTTCAGTGATTGAATGACCTTCCTCAGGAATAAAAAAGAAAAAATTGTTCAATAACAAACTTTGTTTTATAAAAATCAAAATCATTCAATTTTTATTCCTGAGGAAGGTCATTCAAATGGTTGAAAACATTCGATTAGTTAATAAAAATCTGCATTTTAAAGGTTTTATGTCGATGTTTGATTATTATTTAAGTGCAGTTTGAAAAGAGTATTCACAAATATTTTCGGAGATCAGGCTTCTCATTAGATCATCTCTGCTTTGCAGGTTAACTCTAGCATTAAACATGAAGAAACAGGAATAGCGGAGTAAATGAGTCAATTATAGACTATCCCAATGATATCACTTTGCATTAGGGATGTTAAATAAAAAAATAAAAAAATAAAATTTTTCAATGCACAAAAGCGTGGTTGTATTTTCATATAGGGAGACAAAGTTCTTAAGTGTTAAACCTTCATTATCAAATAACATCAGCTCTCTTAACCTGACTAGCAATCAAGTGGGATTCAATATCAAGTATTGGCATTCTAGCATATTATATTTGAGGTAAAGGTACATGTTTATCACATAAGATTATAGAAGAAGTGCCTTTGTCCACAATAGATCATAATTGTGAGGTTGTTTTCTGTACCTTAGCAAAACCAAATAGTCATGATGTATCCAGATTAAATATTTTTATACTGGAACTTTATGGTATAGTGTACTAGTGAATTTGGAACTATAAAACTAAACATATATTTGATACAAAAAAAAACTTTAATATTTTACTGAACCATATTTCATAATACAACTATTCACAAAATTTTTGTTTATGTACTATGCCATAGGCAGTAACCAAAAACTTATCTGACTTACTAACTTAACCTAATTTATAATCTAATTTAATGTAACATAGAGAAAAGAAAAGTAAGTTGTAGAAATAGGCAGGAAAGAAAAAGCTTGACAAAGAAAAATAGTTGTCTAAACTTCTGGCAGATCAGTATTTGATGATGATATGATTCCTCATTTATTTTCTGTTTTTTAAATTTTTTAAATTTTTTTTATTTTTTGATGAAATGGGGCACTGATTAATTAATCCAAGAGATGGTAACTCAAGCTGCATCAAACTCAATGTCATTCAGTCTTTCTTGGAATGGATGATGATGCTTATTTTCCTTTTCAAATTTTCTCATTTTAATACACCACACCACACCACACTCCCACCATATTGATCTACTCTCAGTTCCTTTATCAGACTTCTTGTCTGTCTTTATAAACTTCCAGTCTTTATCTTTTATGGTTCATTTTTGAAAGGTCTATCAAAACTGGTTACTAATCCTAAGCTTACCCCATCTTTAGGATATGTTTATGCAGATCCGAAAATAGGAAAAAAGGCAAATGAAAACTTCTGGGATCAGAATTCACACTAATGATACAGTTCATGCAGAAGAGGGAAATGCAGTAGACTCCCCTATAACACAGGTTCATATAACATGGATTTGTATAACACGGCGAAAAAATTGCGATTGTGTTCGTATAACACGCTAAAAGAGACTCGTATAACATGGTAAAACTTCATCGCCGACTCATGTCGTGATAGGATTGGTTAAATCTGGATCAATAGTGGATATTGTACAAACTGCTGATTTTAAACGAGTAGCAGACCTACTAAATACCATTTATTATTTAACGGCCATAAAAATTATATTTATATTAATGATGTCTCCAAAGTTCAGTGAATTTTTCGCTAAAAAATAACCTATCAGGAAACACGTGCCCACCGTTCGATGAGCCACTCCACGACGAAAACAAGCTTAAGCAACGGCGTCGTCGAACGGTGCACACTCGGTAAGTAATCCTACAATTTTTTCTTTATAGCATAGTTTATGTGAATTATTCCCAAAAAATTATACGTGTTTTGGAAATGTTGAGTCAAATTAGTCTAGAATCGATTAATTTTATGGAAGAAAACCTTTCAAACAGCTTTAGTCCGTAAACTGCAGACGTGCTGGGTTGTGATTGGCTCATGTATTTAAGTGACTTGTACAACACGGAATTCATAAACACTGAATGTATCTACCATGTTATAGGGGGGTCTACTGTAGAAATTGATTCATTTTTCATACACATGATGTATGAGAAATGCATCAATTTTCCTCATCAAACAGAGTGAACTTTTGAGTTCACTCTGTTTGATGAGGAAAATTGATGCATCGAATCTGTTGAATTTTCTCTTGTATTTTTTTCTTCTCTCCTGAGTTGTCACACATGTAATAGTTCAGCAGCCTTTCTTCTGTGCAATGATGATAATAAAGTGATGTTGATGGAGCATGTTCGCAATCTTTTGAATGTGAAGAAAATGACCCCAGAATCTGCAAAAAACACAGAGAGACCACAAATAAAAGGAAGGAAATGTTAATAGTATTTTTTTAATTCATTTTTTGTTTTATTTTTCTTTAACTTTATTTTGTTGTAAAATTCATTGTATGTTTCTGTCTGCTTTTGTGTGAACACAACTAGAGGGAAATTAAGAAGAATACTCCCAAAGGTTGTTTGCCTTTGGGAGTACTTGGCTTTATTTCACTTGATTTTTTTACTCCTCCTGTTTTCTTTCCCCTCTTGCATTTTTGTTAATGTATAAATATGTCTTATAGTATTCTCCATCATAGGTTTTCAGAGAGGAGAGGAAAAAAGCATTATAAGATAGAGAGATAGAGAGAAAGACTTAAAACTAGAACTATAAACTAAGAACAAGGTTCATAAAAAGAAAAGAACAAAATATATTACAAAAAAAATATGGTTAGTTTTGTATTTAATTGTAGTTTAGTAAACAAATATGAGTTAACATCTTTTGAGTTACTCGATCCACTTCTAAATATTTTTTAGACTTTTAGTTCCTGCTCAATTGATTTTTACAACTGTTTTTCCAACATTTATTATTTTAATAACAATAATTGACATTTGCCATGTGATTACTATATAATTATTGTACCTTATAATTAATTAAAATTTCAATATGTTTCCTTGTAAAGATGTTATTTTAAAACCTCGTAAAATTATATACATTTGTACTTTTTTAATAAAATTCCAATTCTTAAACATTGTAAAGTATTTGTAAGTATTTTACAAAAAAAATGATTAACTAGAATCAGTGAATAGTGCTTATTATAGTTATACTAATCTAATTATCTCTTTATTTGTCCAATGTGCATTTTGGCCAAACTGGCATTTTTCAATTGGATTTTACAAAAAATAATAGCAATCCCAAAAAAGCAGATCTTATGATTACAAACACTAACACTAAAATAAACCTTATTTGTACAATAATTTAGTTTAGAGTTACAAATATAATATGTAGATAAATTACTTAAATTATGATGTTGTTGTATAAATTACTTTAATCCTCCTTGTGATGTAATTTAAGAACAATTATAGTATATACTCAATTATCCAAATTAAAATTCAAAACAACCTTTTTCTCAATAATAATAAATGATGCTTTTAGCCGACAACTTTAGTTTACATAGAGTTAGATAGCCTAATAAATAGGATTTAACAGTTTGGAGGGCTTATCACACCAAGGCCGACAGAAAAAATACCGGATCTTTTACGAAAAAGTTAGTCTTTAATAATCACCTTCAAATTTATATAAGGATGCATTTCGGGTACAAGGACCCCTCATCAAAAACATATATATGCCATCAAGAACAATTTGATATCATCATCAGTGGCACAACATTGCAATACTGAAGGATGTGAAATTTTAAAAGATAGTGTCAAGAGTATTCTGACAGAAAGCAATCAATTAAAAAGAAGATTACAGGAATACATAGAAATTCAGAAAA